AATCTGGACCTTATCTTGTGACCTAATTCTACCTCTTGACTGGTTCCACTTCTATGGACAAGCATTTTACACTGAATCGATATTCGATATCTCAAATTGTGATCAGATTGATCAATGATCACCACGTAAAGGGTCAATAAATCCTTTAGGGGTTAACCACAAGGGAAATCTGGTATACAAATTAGGGAAAATTAAGAGGAAATCTAAGGCAATCAGGGGAAATCATAAGGAAATTAAGAGAAATCTTAGGGAGCTCGGGAGAAATCTTAAGGAGCTCGGGGGAAATCTCAAGAAAATCATGGGAAATCTCAAGGAAGTCAGTCAATCTCTAGATCTAACGCATACGCAGTTTTACAAAATTCTTTATGATTTGAGGTCAGGGGAACTCTATTGCAATCTTACTGGTGATCAGAAAAAATTAGAGAAAATCATGGGAAGTCGAGCAAATCATCCATGATTTCCCCTAAAACAGCAATCTGGTATACAAAAACTGATCTGCGGTTTACCCCTCGAATCATATCAATGAACCAAATACCGACCTTGCGAATGTGTGGAATATAACTACTTATCTAGGAAAGACCTTCAACAAAAATATGATTTAAATATTTTAAATTATGTAAGTAGGTGGATGTTATTTGAAATTATTGTTGATTTTTATTATTCAAATTTTACTGATTAAAAATAAAGCTAGTGTTAGTAATACTAAACTATGGTAATACCGAGGGGGATTTCAGTAGTGGAATTGTGTACACTAAATTACCACTTCTGACAGAAATTATCACAAATTACCAGTAATTACCTTCAAATTACCACTTTTTTCCTCTATTACCTTTCATTGCCTCAGGAATTACCACTCAATGCCACTCAAATTACCACTTATTACCTCTTATTTCCGCTAAATACCACTAATTACCACTGTCAATACCACTAATTACCACTGTCATTACCATTAATTGCCACTGAAATTACCACTAAATACCAGGAAAGAAGAGCAAATCAAAATGTTGAAAGTTGAAAAAACGAGATACTCAAGAAGGCATTGTAACATGTCTCGAAGAAAAAAGGATTCCAAAATCCTGCAAAAACTCAAGTTTCATCTTCTAGAAACTGGATAAAATCATGTGATCGATGATGAACGAAAAAATTATGTTAAAAGAAGAGCAAATCAAGATATTGAAAGTTGAGAAAGAGAAACACTCAAGGAGGCATTTCAACATGCCTCGAAGAAAAAAGGATTCCAAAATCCTGCAAAACTCAAGTTCCATCTTTTAGAATCTAAATAAAAATCATTTGATTGATTTTGAAGGAACAAATCGAGATGTTAAAAGAAAAGCAAATCAAGATGTTGAAAGTTAAAGTAGACAGACACGCAAGGAGGCATTCCAACATGTCTCGAAGAAAAAAGGATTCCAAAATCCTGCAAAAACTCAAGTTCCATCTTTAAGAAACCGGATAAAAATCATTTGATTGATGTTGGAGGAGCAAATCGAGATGTTTAAAGAAGAGCAAATCAAGATGTTGAAAGTTAAAAAAGAGAGAAACTCAAGGAAGCATTCCAACATGTCTCGAAGAAAAAAGGATTCCAAAATCCTGCAAAGCAAAAACTAAAGTTCTAGCTTCTAGAAGCTGGATAAAAATCATTTGATTGATGTTGAAGGAACAAATCGCGATGTTAAAAGAAGAGCAAATCAAAATGTTCAAAGTTGAAAAAGAGAAACACTCGAGGCATTTCAATATGTCTCGAAGAAAAAAGGATTCCAAAATCCTGGTAAACTCAAGTTCAATCTCCTAGAAACTGGATAAAAACCATTTGATTGATGTTGAAGGAACAAGTCGAGATGTTAAAAGAAGAGCAAATCAAAATGTTGAAAATTGAAAAAGTGAGACACTCAAGGAGGCATTCCACCATGTCTCGAAGAAAAAATGATTCCAAAATCCCGCAAAGCAAAAACTAAAGTTCTAGCTTCTAGAAACTGGATAAAAATCATTTGATTGATGTTGAAGGAACAAATCGAGATGTTAAAAGAAGAGCAAATCAAAATGTTCAAAATTGAAAAAGAGAAACACTCGAGGAGGCATTTCAACATGTCTCGAAGAAAAAAGGATTCCAAAATCCTGAAAAACTCAAGTTCAATCTTCTAGAAACCTGAAAAAATCATTTGATTGATGTTGAAGGCACAAATCGAAATGTTAAAAAAAGAGCAAATCAATATGTTGAAAGTTGAAAAAGGCAGACAATCAGGGAGGTATTTCAACATGTCTCGAAAAAAAAAGGATTGCAAAGTCCTGCAAAAACTGAAGTTTCATCTTCTAGAAACTGTATAAAAATTATTTGATTGATGATGAACGAACAAATCGAGATGTTGAAGGAAGAGCAAATTAAGATTTTGAAAGTTGAAAAAGAGAAACACTCAAGGAGGCACTTCAACATGTCTCGAATAAAAAAGGATTCCAAAATCCTGCAAAACTTAGGTTCCATCTTCTAGAAACTGGATAAAAATCATTTGATTCATGTTAGAGGAACAAACCGAGTTCACCATCAGCGACTTTAGAACATTCCAACACTATTTCGGATGCCATCTAGAATACGAAAATATGAAAAAATACGAAATTTCACACGCCTTTGCATTTCCTCACACATATTTGCGTATTTGGCTTGGTATTTGGCATCCGCCTAGGATAGGTGAAAATCATGAAAATTGAAACTTGAGAAACAGAGAGACAGAAACACATAAACACCTAAAATAATATTTGTAGCTATTTGCCGAATGTGTGATAGAGGCTTTTAAGGTATTATAATAATATAACAAGAATGTACTCTATCTATCACATTTACCTTTTCTTTTAGATTTAGAAACACTAAAACACAAAACTGGGCCTTGAATGAGACGAGGACTTGAAAGTTTTAAAATGAGCAGTAAAAACGACGTTCATAGATGATGTCAAACCAAGTGTTGAATAATTGCAAGGTTGCCACTTCTCATATAATGAAACCTCAAATGGAACATTTCTTAGAAAATTAAAGTTGATGTTTCTAACTGACTAATAGGGACTCAGAAGAATATTTTACTCAAATCTTAGTTAAATAGTTTACAGTTGAAGCTCTGTTACTTCTAAATTAAAGCAAATTCGAAGACCTATCATAATTTTATCACTTCAGAACTTTGAGGTATTACCACAAAATTTCCTTTAATTACCCCCAAAATTGCCTTAAATTTCCTCAAATTACCAGAAATTACCCCGAATTACCACTATATTTCCACTAAATACCAGTCATTACCACTAATGTCCAGTCATTACCACTAATGTCCAGCCATTACCACTCATTTCCCGTGAAATTTAGTAGGTATGTAGATAAATATGGCATTCCTCAAGGATCTGTCCTTGTGCCATTCTTTTACTCCCTACCTACCTGTTCTCAGCCTGAACACTATTTCACATTGCAGATGATACTGCCTTGGTTTATACATGAGAAAATGTGAGATGTGAATTGGTTTTACGTTAGTAAGCTGAGAGTCAATATCGACCAGACCAATTTATATAACTGATAAGAATAATCCTATGTTTTCGGCTATACCTATTTGGTTTAGGGATCATGTAACATTTAGATCAAGTCAATGATGGACAGCTCTTTTGTTCTGTCTTAAATCAGGTATTTGTTACACATTTGACGTAAGTGCGTGTGGCAAAACAAATTTTAATACAAGAAAATCTTAAAAGTATTATACAAATATGATAGGCTCACTAATACAAATATATTATATAGAGAATTAATCACACAAATGGAGCTGTGTAGCGTGTATATGGAATATTGAATGGGCCCCAAAAATCTAATTCATATATTCTATTGTCAATGACAAATAAAGTACATAAGTACAACACTAGAAATGATAGATATTTACGACGTTGTGGAAGTTAGTAACAGATTTAGAAATGGAAATAAATTATTCGAAAATATTTTGTAATATATGTACTATAATGTAGGTACACATATTAAAAAATCACTTGTCTTAGGCGGAGTTGAAGGGGATAGATTCCGCCCCAAAAATGTAAAAGGAATCAGACATCGAAATTTTTGTACCACTACTAAAGTTGGTGGAAATACTGCTTGAGAAGATCTGAGTCACATATCACAAAAGCACATGTCTATCATGAGGTTGAAAGTGAGAAATTCAACCCTAATTAAAAGCAGCATCAAAGTTAGTGCTTGAGCCCCAAATCTTCTCAAGCAATATTTCCACCAACTTTGGTGATGCAACAAAATTTCCGATATCTGATTTCATTTACATTTTTGGGGCGGAATCTATCACAGAAACTCTATCTCCCTCAACCCCGTCCTGAACAAGTGATTTTTCAGTCTGTGACGTAGATCATCCTCAATAACTGGTCACACAAGAGTCCCCGACAGCTTGCAAACTTTCCATTCCATTCCATTCCAAGATAGATTAGTAACTATGCTGAGCGATTTCTGATAGTGTGCAAACTGTCGAAGGCTTTTGTAGGAACAGACCTAATATTTCTACCAAGTTCGATGTTAGAAGTAGGACTTTGGAAAAAGCTTGAACAATCACTATAATGCTGTACCTACAGGGCGTTAATTGTCGTAGATAGTTCAGAATAGGCACGACTTTGGAGACTTATTGTTAGCATGTATTTTATAAAGATTTTTTCAACAAAAAATATACATTAAAATATAAGAAAAATAATGGTAGGTGTCTACATAAAAAGAGTAATAGTATACGAGTGAAAGAAATCGGTGAGGGAAATCAAAGAGGCACTTTCAAATTTTTATAAAGTCAGTACATTGTATATGGTTGCGAGTAAAGTAATTCTTGTTCTAATCATTATCACCTACTTTACTAATATTTTTCAGCAAAGACCTTAACTTCATGAATCAGCATAAAATGAATATTCTGACCTTTACTTTTCTTATCTTTTTCAAGATAATACAACATTTCACTACATATAAGAAACATTTCAGAAAAAAATGGCATACAAAAATGTTTTCCGAACAGTGCAGCTCTAATTTGAACAGTTATGGACCGTCACTGGCACAAACGTGCAATGGAACCTCGTTTCTAGTTTTTATGACTCTGGTAGACGCTTTATTAAGAGATTCTTGTAAAGTATCAGACGCGCAGGGTAGAATTATTCCTAAACAAGTCCCAGGTAGGTATACCTAGTCCAAAATTAGCATTTTACTAAAATCTGATGCACACATCTATTTACTTCTTTGCTAACTTCTATAAAGAATTACCATTTTGAAATTGATAAACGAATCTCTTTGGCAGATCCAGAATATGATTTTGTCATCATCGGTTCTGGCACGGGTGGATCTACTGTAGCGGGTAGACTAGCGGAAATCAAGCAATGGAAAATCTTACTAATTGAAGCTGGTGACGATGAACCAGTCGGAACTCAAGTTCCATCATTTGCAACCAATTACCTGGACACCTCCATAGATTGGGGCTTCAAAACCGAACCGGAACCGGTCGGATGTCAAGGATTCGAGGAAAAGCGATGCTCATGGCCCAGAGGCAAAGTGCTCGGAGGTACTAGCGTTATAAATGGTATGATGTTTATGAGAGGGACGCCAAAAGATTATGAAAAATGGGTTGATGCTGGAAATACCGAATGGAGTTTTGACCAGTTGATACCAGATTTCAAATCGTACGAAGACGCTAGAGATATTGGATTGATTGACTTGAAAAACCGAGGACGAGGAGGTCCTGTGACGATACAAAAATTCAGATATCAGCCACCTATCGCTTGGGATATTTTGAGAGGTGGACAGCAGATTGGTTATAATATTAGTGACGATTTGAATGGAGATAATATTAATGGATTTGCTGTTGCTGAGATGAACAATAGGTAACTAATAGTCATGGTCTTAACCTACATTAAATTTTCTTGTCGTATTTAGAGATGGAATCAGATTAAGTTTGGCCAAAGCTTTTGTGCGCCCTCAAAAAAATAATAAAAATTTTCATGTAATGCTTAACACAACAGCCTCAAAAATCATTATAGAAGAAAAAAATGGCGAAAAATATGCTTCAGCGGTAAATCTAATTTACAATAATCAAATATTTACGGTCAATGTGAAAAAAGAAGTGATAGTCAGTGCAGGAGCTGTACAAACTCCTCAAGTACTTTTGCTGTCAGGGATCGGCTCAGAAGAGATTTTGCAGCCTGTAGGTATCGACCAGGTACACAATTTAACGGCCGTAGGCAAAGGACTACAAAACCATGTCAGTTTTGAAATGGAAACTTCAATAGATCGAAGTGATGTAAACATGCTGAACTTCAGAACTGTTAGAGAATATCTTTCGAATCAAACTGGTCCAATGAGTTCAACTGGATTAGGACAAGTAAGTATGGACCTATTTTTTTTTTTGCTGCACTGGATTCAAAAGTTTTAACAAATAGCAGAAAAGTAGCTAAGATATTCTAGGTTGACATTTACTGGCACAATAGATAGTTTTTTTTCACCACAGTTGATATGAGAACGTTTTTTAATATGAACACCTTGCATTGCAGCCGTGATAGAGATTTTATTTCCAGACTTGTTAGGAATTTTGTGGGACAGTCGACACTTAATGCTACCTAATCATGAAATTAATGATAATAATGATGGACTGAAAGAATTTTTAGATGTAACAAACCATTGAATCCAAATAAAATCGGCCTTCTTTGTGTTTCAAAAATTATTGTGGTCCTTGATCGGCGTCTGGAATATTATGCTCTTGTTTTGAAAGTACGGTTAAACTTAAATTCTGGCGTGTCGAATAAAATACAGTTGGGACATTATTTAGAGATGAAATTCGTTAAAATTTAGGATTGTGAAAATTAATATTGATTTGCATAAATTGTTGTAGCTTACTGCAAGAATTCACAGCGAATATAGCACTGCAGATAATCCAGATATTCAATTTTATTTCTCTGGATTGGACGACGAATGTGCTCGAACTGGAATTCCTGGTGAGCTTAACGATATTACGAATCCTAGGAAACGACAAAATGTCTTTATTAATCCCACTTATTTGCACACAAAAAGTAAAGGGTAAGAAAAAAAATTGTAGCGCAGGAATATGCTTAAGTGTGGGTTTTTTAAAGTTACATTGGTTTGCATTCCAATAACCCATTTGACCCACCAAAAATCGTAGCCAACTATCTCACAGAGGAACAAGATATAAAAGGTCTGAGAGCTGGAATAAGGATTGTTCAAAAACTGATAGAATCTCCAATTTTGAAAGAGAAATATGGGATGATGTTGGAAAATAAAACTTATGGAACTTGTGCTGAACAGCATCAGTAAGTTAATAATCTGTAAATGCCCCCGAAATCATTCGTCTTTTTTTTTTTTCAGATGGGACTCAGACGATTACTGGACTTGCGCAATAAAATATAATACCCGTCACGAAAACCATCAAGGCAGCTCTTGTAAAATGGGCAACGCAACTAACCCAGAGGCGTGTGTGAATCAAAAATTACAACTGCATGGTATTGAAAATATCAGAATAATGGATGCGTCGGTTTTTCCAACTCTACCGTCAGCTAACCCGCAAGCTTCTATTATCATGGTAGCTGAAAGAGGGGCGAGATTTATCAAGGAGCTGTATCTAAATACAGTAAAATGAAGTAAATTGTAAATTCCAATGCGTATAATTTGTAACTGCTTGATTAAATTTTCAACTTCATGAATGACTGTTGCGATCAGAAATAAAAATTCAAAAACTGCACTATAAAAATATAAAAACTTTATTTTTCCCTAATAATTCACAATACATTTAATATAGGTGTATCATATAATTATTGGATCATAAAAGCGTTTCAAAAACGTTGGCAAAATAATAATACTCTAAATAATACGTTTCTAGGGGGTAAATCATAAAAATATATATAAAAAAACCTCGAAAGCCAGGCTTAAAATGCGTTTTTGTAAGCTGGAGGAGTGGCAAACCTTTTCTTGGATCTAAAATAATTAGAAGATTAGTAATTGATAAAATTATTGAGCACACCTCATTACTTTGGAGTAAAAAATCGTCCAGTCGGTCTCAATAACGAATCAGTACTCGGAGTTTGCTGCAAACGGCCAATAGTAGGCTGCTGAGGCATGTTTATGAAAGTTGACCAATAATCTGATGGTAATCTTATAAGTTGATCCACTATCTGAAAAGTTTCCGGATAATCTAGAACTGGTGCTTTATTATCCAAAACAACCATTTACCTGTATTTGTAGCCTGGTTTCAGTCAACAAACAATCCCTACTCGGATTATCTGAGGAAAATCCTACCAAAGTAGGTCCGAAAACTTTAGCCAAATTTTCAATAGGCATTTTACATTCTGGAGCCTCAGAAATCCTAATTAAAACAAAAATTTGTTTACCCAGGAAAATTTATTGATAAAAATTCTTACTTTTGCAAATGCATTATCATATAAGCCAAAGTATCCCTATTAGGTTGGGCTAGCTGTGAAATGCAATGATACAGGGCTGGAACAGTATCCTGAGTATCTCTGGTGTCCACAGCTCGCGCGAAATCGTGCCACAATGCATAGGTCACTACCGGTTCGGTGAGATTGCGCAAAAAGTCTTTGACGCAACCGCATAGAACGTGAATGTCAATTTGAGATATGGTTGGAGAACCGCGACCTTTCAGGAACTTTTCCTGATGGTTAAAAAGAGACTCATGTTAAAATAAAATATCAGAAGAAAGGAAAAACCTTGTATAACTGATCACTTCTACTGAGCAATTTTTTTTTCAACATTACTAAACATTGGGTGGTATGAATAAAAACGAAGTACTTGCTACTACTACAAGTATTAGTATGTTCTACGTAGTATTTACTTCACAAAGAAGTATTTACTAATTTCTGGTAGTTTCGAAATGTAGTATCTACTTCGTTTTGGAGTAAATACTACATAGAACATACTAATACTTGTAGTAGGAGCAAGTACTTCGTTTTTATTCATACCACCCCTTGTGAAATAATGGGTGGTATGAATAAAAACGAAGTATCTGCTACTACTACAAGTATTAGTAGATAATCCGTAGTATTTACTTAAAAAACGAAGTAGATACTACATTTCGAAACCAGCGAAAATAAGTAAATGCTTCTTTTTAAAGTAAATACTGCGTAGCATATACTAATACTTGTAGTAGTAGCAAGTACTTCGTTTTTATTCATACCACCCAATGTTCTGTGGAACAAAATAGTAAAAAAAATACCTTCAGACTTTTTACATCTTTTTCTGAAGCAGAAATTCTATACAGGCCTAATTCATTGAGACCTCTAAGCTCAATTTCATTGGTGCAGTGTACGATTAAGGCTGGTACCATTGGTGGAATGGTAGGGGTATAGTCACTAATTACACCCTGAAAAAAAAAACAAGAAATAAGCTCACACAAAAAAAAGCTTCACAAAAATCACCTACCAATATATTTTTATGATTTGGTGTATTGCCTACTGGAACACATGGCAGAGGCAACAAATCCTTACACTCATAATGACAAATTGAACGGCATTCTTTACATTTAAGCGAGCTCTTCCCAAATCTGATTCTTTTCTCGCAACACACACATGAATCAGGAAGAACAACGTTTCTTGGTTGGAAATTATGCTGTCTGTATTCTGGTTTGTTACTGTTACGCATATTTTTCCCTGGAGTACCATTTTTGGCCCATGATTCGAATACTAAATTGGGTGGCGGGCCACTTGGAGCTGTAGATCCAATACCATCATCCTATTAAAAGGATGTTTAAATTTTTTAAAAAATATGAGATATTGAATAACATACAGTTGATGGTCTTGCCTCATCTGATACGAAACCATTATCAGATTTTGGTATAGATTCGATTATAGAGGTGGCTGTGATGGGGCCTTTTTTATTTACTGTAACTGTAGTGGTTGCTCTTACTGTATCGGTCAAACCAATCTAGAAATTATTGGAGTTTTTTCAGATAAAGTCTTGGCAAAATTGCATAGATTACATACAATTGGCTACAAATAAAATTGGACATAGCATCCAAATATATGTATTATGTATGTTTATTATTCAGACGTATTTTATATTTTTTTCCATACATAAAATGCTGCAGGACAAATTATAGCAAAAATTCTTCTTCATACTGCAAAAGTACCTCCAATGAGCCACTTTCATGTGCTCGGAATAGGGCAAATTATGATATTTTTTAACGCAGATACATGCAACCGAGAATGAACAATATTTTGCAAGATTTTAGTCAGATTATGAAATTAATTAATAAATAAAAATGAAAAAATTAAACAAAAAATCACGGGACCGAAAACGCTCTCTCATTAGTTAAAGCCGGTATTAATTTTGTTGACACATTTAAAAATTCGAAATTTGAATGAGTTAAATGATTAAGTTTACCTATATCCTTTATTTTTTTGTAACGTAGTAAAGGACAAAAATAGTGATCAGTTGTGTAATGATACACTAATAAAAAATTTGGCATCCTTGCATTTTTACTGATTTTCCGGTTTGTGACGTCACACACCGGTCCAGCGTTTTCGCGGCAGTTTGAAACATCGATTTTAAAATTTTTCTTTTTTCAAAAATAGGCGTTTTTCTTTTTGGAAAGAAAGTATACAGATAGTATTAGAGTGACTACCTGAAAGAATAATTTAAATATGTTTGTGAGAAATCTGAAAGTGGCCCATTGTTTACAAAACATTTTGAACTAAACTAAAAGTAGGTAGTTACAGAACATTTTCCGATATTTTAATGCTCCCTTTGAAGCTTTATTTTGTAGTATGTAGTTAAAAAAAAAAAAACATTATGGAATACAATATGTACCGGGTGATCTATTATAAATCTCACCTCATCCTAACTTTTTTATTTGATGGAAGTGTCAAATACAAAAGTTTTAAGAAATTGGGTAGTGGACAAGGTATAATTTCAATGAAATCGATGATCTTATTCTTCATCTATGAAGTAAATAAAAAATATTCGTATTTTCGGGTATCATTACATCTAGGCGCACATTCAACATAACCCCACTTTTTGAGCGATTTCCATTTATCAATCAGTGCGCACTAAGTTTATCGGCATCTTTTTCTAGAAGCCTGTAAAATATAAGGACGCGTAGATCGCGCTCTCGCCACTCGTATTAATGTCGGAATGCCTTGATACTATTGGACATAACAGCTATGACGTAATTTCCGGGTGGTAAATTGTAGCGTTTGAAATAAGTACAAATTTGTAATTTTTTTTTACATATATTTTTGTTTTTCAAAATCAAAGAATCATCAACTACTTTCTACTACAACAAAAATTGTCCACTACCCTTTGTCAAAAGTTTTTAACTAACAGGTCGATTCTGTGCACATCTGTAAGCAAATCTTAGATATTTTGGGGGTATTTGGAAATCCATGCGTTTTGCAGTGTCTATTAGGCTTAAACAAAGTTATGTGCACAGAATTGACCTGTAAGTCAGTTTTAAGCATACAGGGTGCGTCAAAAAAGTGTAGCAGTGCAAAGTTATTTTCTTTTAAATGGAACAGCCTGTATATTGTGCACTTATTTGTTAGTTCCCTTCAACCTGATTTCAACGATATAGGGTTTGATATGTATATCTTCAATACCCTAAGGAAAAAACATGAAAACCCATTTCAAGGTCTCATGCTGAAGAAAGAAAAATTATACCATTTAAGCTTTAGAGAGAACTGTGTATAAACAGTTTATTTTTGAGATCAATCGTTTATTTCCCAACAAACCTTAAGGATTACAGGGAAATAATAAATATAACTAAAGATATAACATAGCAAACTTAGTGGTTACTTAATATCGAGGGGGAAACCACCTTAGAATTTTGGTGTACAAACTGATAGAATTTTTTAGAATTTCTTAGAATTTTTTAGAATTATCAGTATTTTTTAGCATTTTTTAGTATTTTCTAGCATTTTCTAGAATTATTTAGAATTTTTTAGTATTGTTTAGAATTGAATTAGAATTTTTTAGAAATAATTTTGAATTTTCACCTATTGCGCATGCTTAAGAGCCCGCGCACTGCGCAATCTGTTGGGATTTTTGGAAATTTTTTTGAATTTTTAGAATTTTTCGAGAATTAGCATTTTTCAAAATTTTAGAATTATTATTTTTGGTGTAAAAAAATAGGTAGGTGGGTTCCCCCGAGCCGGAAACCTTCTTAGAATTTTGGTGTACAGGGTGATCTATTATAAATGTCACCCCCTTCTAACTTTTTCATTTGACATTTTTGACAAAAGTGTCAAATACAAAAGTTTCAATAAATTGTCGAAAGTTTTTAACCAAGTCAGTTTTAGACATACATGCTGTGTCAAAAAAGTGTAGCAGTGTGAAGTTATATTTTTTTAAATGGAACACCCTGCACATTGTGCGACATACGATTTGATGTCAATCTTCGATATTTATAAGGAAAAACATGAAAACTCCTTTCAAGGTTTCATATTGAAAAAAGAAAAATTATACCATTTAAGCTTTAGAGAATTTTTTTTATGAACAGTTTATTGTTCAAATTTTATTCAATAATATACAAGGTGAAATATTATATTATAATAAATCCAGTTATTATTATTATTTTTGAAAAAATAACATGAGAGAACTAGCAAGGGATTTTCGCGTTTTTCCCTATAACTATTGAAGATAAACAGAGAGATAAACATATCAAACCGTATATCGTTGAAATCATATTATCTAGGGGATTAACAAATAAGCGCACAATATACAGGGTGTTCCATTTAAAAAAATATAACTTCACACTGCTGCACTTTTTTGACGCACCCTGTATGCCTAAAACTTAGTTAAAAAAAATTTATAATTTCTTAAAAATTTTGTATTTGACAGTTGACACTTCTGTCAAAAACGTCAAATGATAAAGTTAGCAGGGTTGACATTTATAATAGATCACCCTGTACAAACTGATAGAATTTTTAGAATTTTTCAGAATTATCAGTATTTTTTTGCATTTTTTAGTATTTTTTTAGCAATTTCTAGAATTATTCAGTATTTTTTAGAATTGAACTAGAGTTTTTTAGAAATAATTTAGAATTTTTATCTATTCCGCATGCTCAAGAGCCTGCCCAATTTGTTGGGATTTTTTAGAATTTTTTAGAATTTTTAGAATTTTTTGGGACAATAATAACATGAAAATTAGCATTTTTCAGAATTTTAGAATTTTTGGTGTAAAAAATTAGGTAGGTGGTTTCCCCCTCGCTTAATATCAACAAAAAAAAATAAGAATATATATACATATATGCTTTTCACTTATTATTGGCGTAGCATTATCCATGGAAATTTGGCAGGTTGACCCTCGTATAATAATGACAGTATATGTCAAATTCCAGATAGTATTAAGTGTGGTTTACATCATTTCGTAAGTGCCGCGGTATTAAAATTTTCTTGCCTATCTGGCAAATCAAATTTGACACATTTTTCAATGCATTTTTCAATAATGCTATATTATAAACGGTACTTAACTATTTTGCGTACCTGCAAAATCTAATGACATTTTTTAAAATTCGGCATTGTCAAATTTCTTTCGTATTGAAGATGCCGAAAATAATCTCAGAAGAAAAAAAAAGGGAAATATTAAAATGTCATGGTTATTTAAGAAAAAAACCAGAGGCTCTCCAGGGAACAATTGAAGCCTAACTTGCAGATATATTTGAGGTTGGTAGGTATAACTTAAATGTAGATGTGAAGCCATTTCTTACCCCACAACATTTTCCTTAAATTTTAGTTGGGAACCAGGACTATTCAAAGAATTTTGACTGGACAATATACAATCAAAAAACATTTAGGCCGACCGAAAAAGATAGAGATTATTATGGACCGAATGTTTAAAGAAGATTTACAACGACAAATTTGGAAATACAATTCTAAAAATGAATATTTTACATTACAAACATTACTGACATACGCAAAAGAAAATTTGGAATTTAAGGGAGGGCAAACAAGTTTATATAAAATTTTAAAATCTATGGGATATAAATTTAAATTAGTAAATGGACGCAAAATTTTATGTGAGCAGAAACATGTTCTTGCTGCCAAAATTACATTTTTGCGGAAATACCTCCAATATAAACATTCAAATGAAAATATCAGATTCGTGTATTTAGATGAAACTTGGATCTACCAAAACGGATCTCAAGTTCGTCGATGGATACACGAATCTGATATGAAAAGCAACCCATCCAAAATTAAGTCAGAGGGGAAACGTTTTACTATCTTGCATGCGGGGAGTCACAGAATACATATCCTCACGGATAGAAGGCAAACTGCCTAATAAAATTTTGGGGAACAATGCGCTGTCACGGCGCGGTGGATGCGATCCGAACTATTTATAATAAAGGTTTCTGTAATCAAATCAGCTTTCAAAATAGTTCTCCCGATGTCAATATTTCCAATATTAGATTTGTTCGGACTTCAGTTCAGAATTGAACTACGTTTTCGTATTTTCTTATATAGGTTTGATATGACCAAATGCGCAAGCGCAGTCCAATTTAGAACTGATTTTGAACTGAAGTCCAAACAAACCTTTTTCCTCATTATTGAATATTGACGGATTTTTCCTCCGAGTAGAGCAAAAACGGCCAAACTTCTTGTGTTTGTGTTAAATCTGATTTTTTTTTAAATTTAGGAAACATTTATCAATGTCAATATTTTCAATATTAGATTTGTTCGGACTTCAGTTCAGGATTGAACTACGCTTTCGAATTGCTTTATATAGGTTTGATATGACCAAATGCGCAAGCGCAGTTCAATTTAGAACCTGATTTTGAACTGAAGTCCAAACAAACCTTTTTCCTCATTATTGAATATTGACGGATTTTTCCTCCGAGTAGAGCAAAAACGGCCAAACTTCTTGTGTTTTCTGTAAAATCTGATTTTTTTTTGAATTTAGGAAACATTTATCTGGATTTAAAATGCAC